AGAGCGCGAGGCAGCCGCAGATTGATCGTGATCGGCTTGAGCAGCTGTTGCATCGTCCTGATCAGGGCCATTGTATTCAGCAATGCCGTGCCAGGCGGCAACGGCATCGTCGCGATCGGAGCCGGCAGCATCGTCCTCATCGTCCAAATCCTTCTCAATGTATTCGTCGTCCGTGTCGTATTCACGGGGCAAGACTGTCGCTTGCTTCGGGGTTGAGCTCGTGGCTCCCACGCTACGTAACGGACGGGCGGTTGGTTTTCCGGCCGCGATTTTGGCATTCATCCATTTGACATAGGCTAGGTCCTCCACACTCCAACCTTCGTCGTCTGCTGGGCGAACCGATCCTTTGCGTTTGCGTGCCATGGCTAGCTGCTGAAGATTGATGATAATGTCCCTAATCTATGTCACGGTTTTGTATGCTTTGACAGATCTATGCACTTCGATGTTGTTGTTGGTTCCTTGTTTGCTGTGGTTTGTGGAACGTGTCGAACGTGCTGGTGCACTGGATGGCTGTGTGGCGGGAATTGAGATAAATGTTGGGAATCGTGAAAAATGAGCACGTAAGCTTCCCGTTGCACATTCGCCACGTCACAGTCGTGCGCAGGTTAAAGTGACGGGCGAGACTCATGCTTTGACGCTTACGCGATTCTGTGGACGTGCACAGTGGGTTCCGCGTTGTTGAGCGACATGGTGCGATCGATTTCGTTCGTGCGCGTTCACGGTACAAGCCTGACAAGAGGCGTTCTATAACGTGCGTACAACAAATATGCGAAGCTGATAAGAGGATGCCCTGACAAGGGGCCGTAGGAACATGCCCTTAGCCGTTAGCTGTTGGCTGCAGCAAATTGGCACGCAGTTGTTAAGTCGTTGTAGAATTGATATATGTCGTTGTATGTATGAAGTAGAAGTGGTTGTGAAGCTTTGCATGAGTGAAGTTGTCATTTTTCTTGCACTGCTAACTTACCCTATGCCTTGACCTTCTCGTTCTCTCATTCTTGTTCTCGGTCTCTCGTTCTCTCGTTCTCTTTTTCTTGTCTCTCTTTCTCGTTCTCTCTTTTCCGCTCTGTCTGTCTCGTTCTCTCGTTCTCGTTCTATTGTTGTCGTTCCCTCGTTCTCTCTCTCTCGTTCTCTCAATCTCGTTCTCTCTCTCTCTCTCGGTCTCTCTCTCTCTCTCTCTCTCTCTCTCTCTCTCTCTCTCTCTCTCTCTCTCTCGTTCTCTCACTCTCGTTCTCTCTCTCTGACAGTCTTTCTCTCTCGTTCTATCTCTCTCGTTCTCTCGTTCTCTCTCTCTCTCTCTCTCTCTCTCTCTCTCTCTCTCTCTCTCTCTCTCTCTCTCTCTCTCTCTCTCTCTCTCTCTCAAGCAGTCATGCATTTATATGGGTCACAAGGTACAGGCATGGCAGGTGGTGGTAACTAGCTTTCCTAGGTATTGGAGCAGCCAGGGAACCAGAACAAATCAATCAAACAAACAAACAAACAGAGTAAGCCCATCCATCCTGAAGCACCCCTAACTCTCAAAGGAGCCTGATCCCCAATAACTCAGGGCCATGAGAACCCCCCCTTCTTCCAACTGTCCCCTGTCCCTCCCATACCACCACACAACCTCCCCTTATCCTCCTCGGACCCGCCACTTCCTCGCACCTTCCCTGAGACGCCCTTCCTTGTCTCTGTTCCCTCTGGCCCACCCCGGCCCAGCACACCCCCACCCCCCCCCCCCCTGTTTCTCACCGCGCCCATGTATCCCTCCCCTGCTGCCACCCAACCCCCTCCTGTCACCATGTTTCTATCTCCCCGGCCCCCTCAGGCCCCTCAGGCCGCCCTGGCAGGGGCGTGTCTCTCTTCATACTCGTCCTCCAGGGTCTGCCACAGGTCACCTAGCCTAGGTGCCCAAGGGTCCGCCGCTGTCTGTGGGAAAGCCGCTTCCGCTGCTCGGTTAGACTTGGAGAGTAGGGAGATTGCTTGGCTGCGCTGGAGCACCACGGACCACCGTTGCCTGAAGTGTGCATTAAGGCGGGCGGCGGTCGTCGTGAGGCGTCCTTTCCTGTACTTCGTCTTGGCGGCATAGGTGGCAAGCATGCGGATGAACTGCTGCGTGTCCTTAGCCAGGGCCCCGTAGGTCTCTACCGCTAGCCCAAAGAAACCGGCATAGCTAGGGCGGCCTTCGTAGAGCCTGTGCTTACCCTCGGAAGCTTCCTCCACTGCCCACCCAGGCGGCTTCCTGGCTCCCTTGTCCCGCCTCTGCAATACCGGATCCGTGACCGTGACATCTGTCACCCACGTTTCCCCTGACTCCTGGTCTCGGATGGCCAGGTCTGCCCGCTTTCGGAGGACGGGGGGAGAGAAAGCCGTGGTTTCATGGAACGTCTTGTAGCCCGCATCCCTGGCCATCCTGAGAGCCGCGAAAACCAGGGCGTGGTGGGTCCTTACGGCGTCCCCGCCATCCCCACACCGCAGGAGGTGATTGGGGAGGCTCTTATCGGCGATCGTCGCGTTGTCCCGCTTGCACGGACACACCTCGGCAACCGGCAGCTCCATGCCCAACCGCAGGCCCAAGGCCATCGAGAATTGGCCAGGGGATAGGCTAAGGTCTCCTCTAGTTGGGATGGCATGGAGCCAGTCACCCGCACCCACCCCCTTGAGGCTGATGAGGCGGACGGCGTGGCCCTTGTCCTCCCCTGGTCGGTCCTGAAGTGTGTCTGCTAGGAGTTCCAACGCCCGCCGCTGGTTGATAGACTTGGACAGCCTCAGCTGCAGGTTCCCAGTGCCCAGGCTCCCTGCCCTGTACTGCTCTAGTGTTGCTCGGGCTTCGGCAGGGAGGTTACCCTCCATCGTGGCTCTGGGGTTGGTCTCAGGTGGCAGTGGGGCCCACTCGTGGGAGAGGAGCTGTGTCGCCCGGCTCAGGAGGCAGTCTGTTGGCAGGTTCAGCTGCCTCAGTAGGATGTGTGCCGCCGTGACTGAGGCCAGGTATGCCGCGGGTGCCTCAGAGATAGGGTCGATCACCCCGAGGCCACCCAGGCGGATGGGGAGTGTCCCCTGGCGCCACAGCAGGCTCTGCTCAAGCTCGGAGGTGGGGATCCGTAGTTTCGCCACGGTGAGCGCCGATCCCAGGAGAGCCTCACTCCACTCCCTCCATTCTCGCGCACTTAGTGTAGAAGCCGGGGTCGTCCGAAGCATGTACGAGATCCGCCGTGAGATGCTGCGTGAGACCATAAGGAGCGCGTGCTGCGGGTTCAGTTGTGAAATGAGGGGGAGCGGTGATGCAGCCTCCCCCAGCGCCGCCCGTACGTGGTCCGTGCAGAAGTCATCAGACCCAACAGGGCTGCCCAACACCTTGATTCCTCCCGGGTTCGCGGTCAGCCCCAGCGGTAACTCCTCCTGCTGCTCGCTCGCGTTCCTCCCCCAGGCCGTTGATTTGGCAATGTTGCATCGCAGTCCTGCCTTTCCCAAAGCCGCAGCGATCGTGTCGAAGGCGAGGCAGGCGGCTTCACGTGGGCCGACAATCGTAATGTCGTCGGCGTAGGCGACGATCGCCACATCCGGCAGAGTAGTGGCCACACTCAGCAGGGCTGGCTGGATCGCCGCCGCGAACAGGAGCGGGCCGAGTGGATCGCCTTGGCGAACTCCGCGGGAGCTCAGGATGTACTCAGTGTCAAAACGCTGGTCAACCAAGAGCCTCGACGGGCCGTCGTAGAGGTTTCGGACCAGGGGGAGTAGGGGGTTGAGGTTAGACCATTGCAACGCCTCGAAGAAGGCCCTGCGTTCGACGCTATTGAACGCGTTCTCTACGTCCAGCTGCAACGCGATCCGCGGGACGTCCTCCTGTAGTAGCGCTCTAACCGAGTGTATGATGCACTCCGCTCCCCCCGGGATGGCCACGCCGAATTGGACCGGGAGAAAGAACTCCCGGATCTTGGGGCCGAGCGAATGTAGAGCTGCTTTCGCTACTACTCTGAGCAATGTTTCGCCAATCGCGATAGGCCTGACCCCACCCCCCGGTTTCTCCAAAGCTATCAGGCGCGAGGATAGGGCAAGGTCACGCAGCTCCTGTGACTGGTAGGTGCTAAGGAAATAGTTAACTATCTTGGCGAGTAGAATTAATATCTCCTCATTTGCGAGAGCAGGATCTCTGAGGTGTTCGAAACACGTTCCAGAGGGCCCCCCCCCCACCCCATTCGGGCACTTCGCCAGGATCTCGCGAAGTGCGTCGATCTGAATGGCGAGCTCAGAAGTTGCTACCCCTGTTACCCAGGCTGGGAGATCGTCTTCAGCATGTGGGTGTTTCGCCCGGAGTGCTGCGAGGGTTGCCGAACTGGGTTCAGCGAGTGGGCTGGTGCGTAACGCAGCAACCGCCTTCGATATATTGCCCTTTTTCATTAACCCTTCGGCACGTGCACAAACACCATCGTCGTCCGGTTGGTGTCGTAGCGGGGCTTCGGTATCGGGGATAGTGCCAGCTTCCTCGAAAAGTCCCTCCCATTTCCCCTGCTGAAATTGGTGCAGCCGAGCCTCAATTCGAGCCCAGCGGCTCCCAATAACAGGTTCGGGAGAGGGTCGTAGTGTAAGCCTCGGTAGGAAGAGAAGAATCTTCCACGCCCCTGGGCACGTGGGGAACTTCTCTAGCCTCAGAAGTGGCGCCAGCAGACAGAGGCTGTATTTGTCTAGGATTTGTGGAGGTAGGCGGCGAACAAGGAAGGGCTGGTCACTACGTTGCAGTTGCTGCATATCCCAACCCCCGGCTTCTTGCCAGATGGCATCATCCTTCGCCATGTCAGTAGGCGAGAAGACATCTGTCGCAACTGTTGCTCCACCTGTATCTCCCACAGCTTGTTGGTTCTGCACATCCCCCCTCGACCCTCTTCCCCGTGTGTTGGGTGCATTCCTGTCCACCCCGGTTTCCTCCTCCAGGGACACCTCCTCAGATTCAGCTTCGTCACCACACATAAATTCTGGGTCGCCACCGTTGTCCTCAGAGCCCGCTCCTTCCTCCTCATTCGTTGGTGCTACCCCCGCCTCTGGTCTGTCGTGCCTTTCCCGCCAGGTGCCAACTCGTACGGGGATCTCAGATCCCCCCACCAGGGCCCTTCCCCCTCGCCCTCCGCGCGCTCCCGTGCACCGCCCCCCCGTTGAGTCCTCCCCGCGCTTGTCGGCGCTCCTGCCACCGCGCCCGTAGCTCCACGTCCCGCCGGCAGCCACGGTGTCCGACCTCCGCGGGGCGGTCCCCAGGTAATTGCCGCTCGTCGCGTCGCGTGGCGGGTGTTGTGTGCAACGGCGTTCGTGGTGTTTGGAGCCTCAGCGCGCGCTGCCGTTGCTGGTGTTACGTTGGGAGCGGAAGCGTCCCGGGAGATTCCTGGCGGGCGGCTTCCAGCCTCAGTCACCTCTATCCCCTCTCGCTGGCTCACCGATGGCGACCGCTGCGCTCGCTCAGATGGCGGTTGCCCTTGCAGAAGCCAGCCCAGGAGGGGTCCCGGGGAGCCAGGTCCCAGCCCTGCTCCGAGCCGTCTCGGCGCTGGCTGGGCACGTAACTTCTTCTTCGAGACCGCCCTTGCAGCGCCGGAGGAAGCTCCGTTCGCAGGTCCCGGAAACTCACCCTCCGCCTGGCCGTGCTCCTGCCTGTTTGCGGCCGCGGCAGGTACACGCGTTCCGGCGCTCGCAGCGACAGGCATCGCGTCAACCTCTGACGGGGCTGCGCCCTGCTCCCCAACCGCAGCAGACACCACTGCCGCCAGCACAGTCGCCGTTACAGGCGCCGGAGACGCCGACAACACCGCCTCCGCGGTCTGCTCCTGATCCACGCCCTGGCTTGGCTCCTCCGCCTCCTTCTGTGCCGCTCGTGGGGCGGCAGCGTGTGAAATTGAGCCGCCGCCAACGACAGCGGCAGAACCGCCGGCAAACACAGGGTCAGCCACCGTCTCAGCTGCAGTCGCAGCAGCAGCAGCAGCTCCCTCAAGCACCAAACCAGCCGCCCTCCTGGGCACCACAGCTGCCCCCAGCACCGTCCCCACTGCGGCGTTTTCCCCTGCCCTTCCAGCCACTACCGCCTCGTCCCCCAATGCCCCAAGTTCCCCCGTCACACTTCCCGCACGCCCCGAGCCCACCTCCTCCCCCTGCCCTGGGTCTTGGCGCGCCTCCAACTTCCGTCGAGCAGCGCGTGATGCACGTTGGGACGTGCATGACACTCCTGTCATATGTGCTCGACCAGCTACACGTGACACTGGTGCAGCAGGAGGTGCAGGTCGAGGCGATGCAGCCGGCGGAGCAGTCGGCGGCGGTGGCGGTGGCGGAGGAGCTGCAGCATTCTCTCTCTCTCTCTCTCTCTCTCTCTCTCTCTCTCTCTCTCTCTCTCTCTCTCTCTCTCTCTCTCTCTCTCTCTCTCTCTCTCCGTCTATCTCTCTCGTTCTCTCGTTCTCTCCCTCTCTCGTTGTATCTCTCTCGTTCTCGTTCTCGTTCGTTCTCTCTCTCTCTCTCTCTTGGTCTCTCTCTCTCTCTCTCTCTCTCTCTCTCTCTCTCTCTCTCTCTCTCTCTCTCTCTCTCTCTCTCTCTCTCTCTCTCGTTCGTTCTCTTGTTCGTCCCCTCTCTCTCGTCCTCTCTCTCTCATCCTCTCTCCCTTGTTTTGAATCCGTTCTTGTTGTTTTCTCTTCTTCTTCCTTTCGGTTGATTTTCTTTCACCATATTCTCTCTTGATCCCTTCTATTCGTTCCTTTCTTCGTCTTGTGATGCTTGTTTTCTTTCTTCACCAGGCTGCGCGTACGCCAGATTAATCCCCTTATGATTGCGCCAAGCGATTGGGAAATGATGGGTTGTGGAATTTGATTTAGATTGCTGCTCATAAATTTTGCATCTTTTGTTTTCATTTCTTCCTACTTGTCTTTTTTGTTTGTGCATTTGTATGCGGTTCTATTATCGTTAGTCTGCCTTCGTGTGTGTGTGTGTGCGTATGTGTCATTTTCTGCATGCATGTGTAATTTTTTATGTTCATCATTGCATTAACAATGCATGTCTGTGAATTTTAAAAAGATGGCTCAGGTCTATCATTTCACAAAAGGTTCATTGGCGCACAAAGTGACTCGTGTGTTGCCACTTCGAACTGGATTTGATAGGGTTGACCATTTTTTTAGGATTTACAGATTGTGTTGTTTCATGTGATAGTTGATTATTCAAAATCTATGCTATTGACCTCCCCCCCATGCTAGGTAGGGGATGGCGGTAGCTTAGTTTTTGGGTCGTTAACTGTCACGCATTTTATTATGTGCATGCATGTGTTAAGTCTAAGTACTATGCGGAAGCGATTAACTCAGAGCCACAAACATAAGCTAGGCAACACTTAACATCACTTGTGAAACAAGCGAGTAGTTATGCCACACTTAGTTTGCAGAATGAGCGTTCTGGTAGAGCAGAGTTTCGGCAGAAGTTCGTTGTGTATCTACTCTCGTCAATACGTAGTAGTAGATTGTAAGCTTGAAAATCATGAAAGCATTGTTGATGGAAGCAAATACAAGCACACATATAAGAGAGGTCCTAGGTGCACAAAGGAGAACGCACAAAACAGTTGTCTAACTGTCGTCCAGGTCTTCGCTTTGCTGTCATGGAAAACGGTTGTAAAACTGCTTCAGAATTTGGCTTGATCTGCCTCTGTAGAATAACTGTCTTCCACTGCACTGCTGCCAAATTCTCCTGCTGACTCCCCTCGTGAACATTCATGATCGCTCGTGTACAAATCACGAACACTCGTGTGGGTTTACCGTTTTCTTCAGTTACAAACGGACTTTACCGTTTTGTACCTCTGTCGAAATAATGACGCAAAGCAGCGCGACTTTCTGGCGAATTTTCCTGCTCGCCTGGTCAGCGCGAAATCCCATTAGTCAACCGTAAAATCTCGCGTGCCCCACGTGCCCCACGTGCCCCTCATCACGACCGAGATATTTCTCGGTCGTGCAGGACAAGACGATCGCTGACGCGATCGTGCGTTGTCCTGCGCGTGACGGAGCGATCGTGTCGCTCCGTTCAGTATCGATCGTGCCCACTGTGCACGATCGAAACAGTGGCGACACACGCGTGGGCCCTGCACGACCACACGCGCGTGTCAGAACCCCACGCGCGGGTCTTGACCTCGCGCACTTTTTCATTGACCAGCGCGAAATGGTCAACGGGGCTGGTCAAACAATCGAGCCCCTAACTCAAACACACTCGACATTCACAACAGCTCTCATGAAAATAACTCGCCATTCATGAAACACAGAACACTCATGAAGCACAGAACTTTCATGAGCGCACATGTTCGTTGATGAAAACAAACATGAGCGTACATGAGCCGACATGAGCGAACGAACATAACTCGTCATGATCCGTCATGACCGAACATGATCCGACAGCAACAACACATGAAACGAAATGCGAAAACGAATGCACACAGAACAGACACAAAATGCATAACATCACGCAGGCGGCTGGTTGCAGTGCAAAAATAGTATTTTGCACCCAACAGCATGTGCATCATGATTCATGACATATCATACTACCGTATTAAACATTATGCACCATATAGCATTATTTATGCATCATGCATTTATTTATCATTACCACAGCACCATTTAACAGTAAAACATAGGTACTAATATTTAACAGTACAGCGTAAATGCACAAAATCGATGACAAAGAAAAATCATATGGTTTAATATACCACAAACATCGTTCAAAAAATTTCAGCATGCACACAGCATGGGAAGGGTGCTCTAATTAACGAATTTTATTTTCATGTTTTTTTTAAAAGGAAAAACATGAAAATAAAATTTGCCAAAATCGATTGTAAAGGGTTGCTTCGCAACCCAAAAAAAAAAAAAAAAAAAAAAAAAAAAAAACGAATATGCCACGTCTCAATCAACCAGCAAATGGTTACTTGCTTTTGCTTTTGGGAACGGCTCTGTCGTCGCTTCTCAACAGCTGCAGGTCGACGAATAGGCCACCTCGCCAGCTGGCACTTGTTATGACTCTGATCACGCGAGCTAGTTCCCGCCCACCTGTACACCCTCCATCCCAGGTTTCCGCGTCGTCACGACGTGAAGAGCCTTGACGTCTCGACGAAACGAGGCGAGACAGGGAAACGTCTCGCGAAAACACCTGGCATGCCAGAAACCTAGTTGTGTGAGCTAGTCGACGGGGCTGGTCGACCTGCATAGGGGCCACTGCAAGGGGAGCCGACTTCTGGGCACCGAGTTTTGGTGGTCGACGAAGGGGGCGCCGACGTCGACCTGGACTGGGGAGCTGGGTACCGAATAGCAAGGTGCCAAGCAAGATGGCACCGAGCCAGTGGGTCGACCTAGGAGGACGCCAGGCGTCGACCAGCTGGCACTGACCTTGGGGACGCTGGTCACAGGTGGTCAGCGATTGTCTGGGCTGGCCGACCAGTATACCCGGGCGACGTGTGTGAAGGTCGCTGGAATGGTTTTTGCGATGCCGACCACGGAAGTGGTATCACGGACGTGTGCGAAGGTCGCCGGAATGGTTTTTGCGGAGGCCGACCAACCAGCTGTGCGTGTCCTGCATGTGCAACACTGTGCAACCGACTTGCTGCGGCGTTGGCACACCGTGGACTTGCAACGGTGGCAAACCGCTACTCTACAACGCTGGAGCAGTGCAAGCTCTGCTGCGCTGGATCGCGGTCGACCATGCTGCGCTTGGGATCGACCAGCAGCCTAGCTAGCTCTGATGTAGTTTGTGTTGCCAATGTTGTTGCACCCATTGTTGTCAACTTTCCTTACAAAGTCTTACCAATTTCCCCCGTGAACTACCAAGCAGTATGTGCACAAGGAAAGCGACTAAGGAATGCAGAGATCACTCTAGCCCCGTTCCTAGCCCGTAGTCTAGCTCTTGTTGATTTAGTTATCTCCGCATGGTCAGGTGAGCGTGAACGGCACCGCAACGATACTTTCGGTCTGGCCGACTTTTGCACTTACCTATCATGTTTGTAGGGTGGCATCTGTGCGCTAGTCACGATGGTAGGCGCTGTAGGCGACGCAGGGGTGGTGGACACCTTGGAGGCACGGCTGGAGGATGGGAGGAGGCGCCATGAAGCTCGCGAGTACGAGGAAACACTCCCCCGAGCGGTCGTCGAGGCTGGCATCCGTGCATTGTGGGCGACGGAGCACCCTTCTCAACCTGGTTCTCCTAGACCGGTCTACAGCGAAGGCGGCGTCGACGTGGGCGTCAACGTCAGTGGTGACCAAGTCGGCAGTGCGGGAGGCACGTCGAGGCAGCGACGTGTGATTCACGCCGATGAAGTTGGCGGCGTTTAGGCGTGGGGGATGCAGTCGTTGGCGGCTGCAGGGTCCTCGCAGGGCGATGTGGAGGTCGACGAAGCGGATTAACGCCGTCGTCGGTGACTCACGTGACAGCGACTGGGATAGCACCGAGCTACGGCTACTTCAAGTCTACGCTGGACAGAATCTCGGTCACCCCTGTGCTGCTTGGTCGTCCTGACATCCTCACGTGGAAGGAGGCCATTGAGGCCTAGTTGGAGATGGTCGGGTTGAAGTGCTTCGCCGATGGCACCGCGGCGACGCCGTCGGAAAGCAACCCTGAGTTGCGTGCGCGGAGTTTTGCATTGTGGAGCTGTTGATCTTCACGTTCATCTTGCGGTGCTGCTTGCTGGGCATGCAGATCACCCTGAATCCGTGCGGTGCTACCTAGACGCCGGCCTCCAGACGTGGCAATTCATCGAGTCAAGGTACCAGGCCACCGACGACCTGTACATCGGCTAGCTCGAGGAGAAGATGTCACATTTGCGGATGGGCGACCAGGAGACAGCGACCGACTACTGCAATCGAGCTCGCCACAATACGGATGGCCAGCGTCCAATACTCCACAGTGACATACGTCATGCACGTCCTGAAGGGGCTCCCGAGTAGCTACAACCTGATGAAGCAGATGCCGGTGGTGTCGAGCACGCGGGCGACGCTCAATGAGGACTCCCTGACCTCGTACATTCTCAAGGATGAGGCGATGCAGGAGGCCGAGCGGTCCAAGGAGCCCCTGCCGCAGGTGAACTACGCCGCCCCGACGAAGCAAGGTGGTCGCAAGGTGAACTACGCCAGACAGCGTGGGCAGTCTGGCGGCAGTGATAGCGGTGGTGGGAGGCCAGCCAAGGACGCTGACAAGAGGAAGCTAGCTCAGGATGGCGGTCGTGGAGGAG